TGGAAATGGGGTCCAAAATAGGGATGTGGTTATTGTCTGATATTTTTATCTTCTTGCTTCCAGCTGTCCTTAATCTCATTTTATGTCATAGCAATGTTTACATTATTTTATTATGCAAATTGACCAAAGCAGCTGAATTTACCTTTAAATTTGCGTGCCCCAAAGTTTTGCACCTAAATCATTTTCTTTTAATAGTATTTCTTTACCTCCTTTATATTTTTTGTGCCACTTAGAACTTTGATAAATATAATTCCAAGCCTTCTATTAAAAAGATTGTAACACTTGAAGCATTCTTTTTTAATTAAAAAAAAATTAAACCAGTTGAACTCCATTCCTAATCTCTTTATCAAGATCTTTTGGGATGAGAAGACTAAAGGTGATGTAAGCTTTCAGAAGCTCTATTTCATTCTATCTAGATATTTGCCCATCTACATCAGTCTAATAATATCAATATGGGATTTAGGTCAGTCTTTAGGTCAGAATGTGAAGACCAACTTACATCTAATCCATTGTGTTAGGAATATAATCTAACGGTTGGGTTGGCAATATATAAATCATGCAACAATGTTATACCTATTTCTTTAAATCATACTGTAAAATGTTTTACTCAATCAGCTATAGAAAGTGCCTAGCTTACCTAACACATTGCATTGTCCATTTTATAGGGTAAAATTCTGTTTCTCAGCTGTTTTATGTTTGGATTTTAATTCTGAATGGTCATATTGACTTGTTAATTTATGGGCAGGAGAATATTTACTCTGAAAGCTATTAAGTGGTCTAAGTTCTTGGCTTACGGTACTGATTTTGTTTCTTTCTTCTAGAGAAGTTCTGACATCAAAATGAGTGTGGAGACACTCTTGCACACACAAAAGTACCAGGGGGAAAAAAAGCTGAACTTGATGAATCCTAGCTGTCACTTCTAACAATCGGATCTGTTTAAATTAAAGCCTTTCAGTTTTAATGTTGTAGAAGACACTAGCAATAAATCGATTTTGAGGGCCGTACAGAGAGAGACAACAGAAAACAAACTGCACAAATTGTTTCAAATGTGTTTTCCCTTTAATTAAATAAGAACCATCTGTTGTGGGGGGATGCATTTGGATATGATCCATATTATCCCTCTGTTAATTTCCACCCAGCCTCCATTACTTTGAGAGAAATATGCATGCAAAACTGGGTGCTTTATGCTTTTAATGGCAAAAGGCTTGTTATATGTATAAAAAGCTGCTAAATCTTAACCTTAAGCACATTTTAATTTTAGAAGATAATGATGAACCAACTTGATTGGTAAAATCCAACAGATATTTAAAACAACAAAAAGGAAATTAAATGTGAACTAGGAGATATAAAAAAAATCAAGGGTGATAGGATATAAAGAATTACATCATGGAGCTTTGTGGAAATGAATTATATTTCTCTCCTAGTAGATCCATAGCAAGTTAAACACTAGGCGAAAACATATTTTTCCCTTCTTTTCAAATATAATCTGGATGGATGGATGGATGGATGGATGGATGGATGGATGGATGGATGTGGGTATGGGTGGAGAAAGAGAGAGAGAGACAGACAGACAGAATATGCCATGTCCACAGAGAAGTGAGAGTATGGGTAGACCACAATTGGGATTGGCAAATCTGTGGCTAACTGTTGCAGTCACTAAGTGAAAAATCTTACAAATGCAACATTTAGATCACTTCATGTTTGGTTGTTAAATACCACTCATTAAACAAGATATCACATGATTGTGACTTGCAATCTTACTTCCATGTTCTCCATTAATTCTGCTGGTTGGAAAACAAAATAATGGAGTCATATAATGATAGGATGCAGGGGCAATCCTAATTTAAGATGATTAACTCTTCCTTGATGGTGGGAATGGTCCTACCTTTTCTGGTAGGTGTTGATATGTCTAAATCTTAAAGGAATATTGCTTAATGCAACTCATCCAGATAGTTTTCATCCAGTTTCCAACATTTCATTTTTAGGGGAAATTGTGGGAAAGTGCTGAGAGTTAAATGACTCTGGATTAAAACAGATTACCTGGATCCTTTTCAGTTGTGATCTATGCACAGATATGGGACTGAATAAGTACTGATCAAATTCTTCCTTTGGTGGAAGCAGGATAGAGTAGTGTATCCATCCTTTCCCCTCCTGACCTCTCAGCAGTTTTTGATACCATCAGTCATTACATCCTTTTGAACCATCTTTGCTATTGGAGGTGGGTAGCATTATTCCATGCTGGTTTTCCTGCTTACTCTGGAGCCAGTTCTACTCAGTTTTGATAGGAGGAGAAAGATCCAACCCATGGCCTCTGTTGTGTGGAATGCCAAGGAGCTTGGTCCTTTCTCCTCTCATGTTGAATACCAACATGAGGCCAACATAAGGCTATTGGGTGAGGTTATCCAATGGTTTGATGTGATATCATCATCCATCCATCCATCCATCCATCCATCCATTTATATCTCCCTCCCAGGCCATCAGACAGATGCCATGGATTTCCTATCTCAGTGCCTGGAGGCTATGCAGGCCTGGATGGGTCACAACAGGCTTCAGCTCAGTTGAGTGGCTTTGGGTGCAGGGCATTCTGATGCTAACAACTTTCTGTCTTTTGTCCTGGGTGGCATGGCATTCCTCCTGACAGAGCTAATAAGTAATCTGGGGTCCTCTTGAGGTCATGGCTCCTGCTGGTAAAGAAGATGGCATCTTTGTACATTTTCAGATTATGCGCTAGCTGTGCCGACTTCTCAACCAGGAGGCCCTGCTCATTGTTATTCGTGCCCTTGTTATCTCCTTTATAGATTACTCAATGTGCTCTAACTGGGGCTATACCAAAGGGCGTTCAGAAGCTTCTACTGATTAAGAATGTAGCTGCATGGGACTTTCTAACATTCATTTTTAGGGTTCCACCACAAATCTGCGAAGCCCTTATCCGCGGAGACATAAGCGTGAAGACTAATTCGAAGCGCTAAGGAAAAACGCGACCCTACCGCGATGACATAATCACGGAGGGCAAATCTGCGCATTCCCAAGCACTCAGTACCCTAAACCTAACCCTAAACCTAACCCTAAACCTAACCCTAAACCTAACCCTAAACCTAACCCTAAACCTAACCCTAACCCTAACCCTAACCCTAACCCTAAACCTAACCCTAAACCTTATCCTAAACATAACCCTAAACATAACCCTAAACATAACCCTAAACATAACCCTAAACATAACCCTAAAACAAACCCCTAAACCTAATCCTAACCCTTACCTTAATTGAAATCGGCTTTCTGCCGCGGCACCATTTTAAAGCACCCTTCTGTTGCCGCGCTGTTGTTGCGGCAGTGATGACGCGCGATGATGACATCGCAGCTTTAGCGACACGCTTATGTCTCCGCGGATAAGGGCTTCGCGGTTTTGTCGTGCCACGCATTTTTAGGGATTGGTTACTTTATGCCTATTCCATGAGCTGTGCTGGTTGCCATTGTACTTCCAGATACAATTCAAGGGGCTGGTTGTTACCTTTAAACCCTTCATGGTTTATGGCCAAATTATCTGAGGGACCATCTTATACCAGTTTTTTGTGTCCATCCAATCTGGTTTGGCAGGATGAGAATGCGCCCAGATCACATTGTCCAGGAAATACCAGCTAGTGGGGCCCAGGAAACATTCCTTTTTTTTTTTTTTTGCTGTACCAGCCACCCTGTGAAACCTTCTTCTGAGACCAGAGCCTGCTGACTTTCCTAAGTGTTTGTTTATGATTGTTTGCCTGTTCACTTGTACTGAGAAGCCACATGCAAATTGAATAAATGAATGAATGAATATGAGTGAGTGAGTGAGTGTGTGTGTTTTACTACTGGTTCTGTGGGCATGGCTTCCCCCATGGCAGGGGAAGAATACTGCAAAATCTCCATTTCCTCTCCACTCTGGGGCCAACCAAAGGTTGCATTTGCCGGTTCTCTGAACTATTCAAAATTTCCGCTACCAGTTCTCCAGAACCTGTCAGAACCTATAAATAAAAGACTGGTTGCAAGCCCTTTTTTGCACTGTTGTAACTTTCAATGGTCACTAAATGAGGCAATAATTTGTTAGAAGGTGGCTTCCTTGCAGCATTTCTGTAATGACTGGGAGATGCACAGGGTTTAAAGTACTACAGAACTATCAGTCTCTGAACAAACAACCTCATACTATTGTGGATATGCAGATAGGACATTATTACATCCAATATAAATATTACATTTAATATAAATAAATATAAATAACCTATTTTCCAAGTGCTTCATATATCTTCCCAAAAAACTCCATATGCTGGCCTATTGCAACTGGTCTAGCAATTTTTAGAAGAGAGATTAAAAATCTGGAGGAAAACCTAATGAACTAAAAATCCAACTCCTAAATGGGCAGATGAATAAAATAGTAAAGGTAAAGGTTCACCTCGCACATATGTGCTAGTCGTTCCTGACTGTAGGGGGCAGTGCTCATCTCCATTACAAAGCCAAAGAGCCAGCGCTGTCTGAAGACGTCTCCGTGGTCATGTGGCCAGTATGACTAAATGCCAAAGGTGCATGGAACGCTGTTACCTTCCCACCAAAGTGGTTCCTATTTTTCTACTTGCATTTTTACATGCTTTCGAACTGCTAAGTTGGCAGATGAATAAAATAGATTCCATTTAACTCTAATCAAGTATAATAAGTCACTTTTGCTAAGATAGAAACTATACAAGTCCATTTAACTCTAATCAAGTATAATAAGTCACTTTTGCTAAGATAGAAACTATACAAGTCCAGTTCTTGGACATCACGTAATTTCTCTCAGGACTCTTCTGCAGAAGGTCTTTTGCACAAGGCAATATAGTACATTCAATATCTAAGATTTGTGTCTTCTCTAAAGAGATTTAGATCAAACTGACATAATGAAAAGAACATTGGATCAGCTTGCAACTGAGGCAATGATCAGTGACAGAGTTTGGCTGAAGATTCTCATGCAGAGGATGACACAGAAATAATTTTCTTACTTTTATTATCAAAGGGAATCTGTTTACACTCCGTGCCTGGCCAAGGGCAATAGTAGACAGCTCCTCCTTCCACTATGTCTGGCTGGGTTGTGTTGGCTTTAGGTGCTCCAACTAGGACGCTTACTCTGCAAAAGAGGCAAGAGAAAAACACTAAGTATGAATTTGGAAGAGCCCAGGCAAGTTGCTTTATTGATAGAGTTGTGATTCCAGAAATCGTTTTCTGATCTCTGACAAAAACCTTACCCTCAGTCAAGAAAAGAAAAGCATTAGTCAAAGCAAAAGCAAAACAAAAAACAAAAACCCACCTCATTTCTAATCCCAAATAATGTTTGCCAAATAGCAAAGGCTGTCAAATAATAACCTATGGCACTGAAGAAGCACTAAGGAACTGTGTTTTTAGAAGGTGACAAGAAATACCAAAGCTAAAAAAATGACGTTTTCCTATTATTTCCCTGGGCATTTTGGTTATAGAGGGCCAGGCATAGAGCTCTCTCTAGGTCAGATCACTGGGTTCTGGCCTGGTAAAAGCTCCTGTCCATCATCGTTTACTGTTTTGGCAAACAGCTACTTGGTTACACCTTGGCTACTTGGTTTTCAGGGCAAATGTGTGCTCCAAAGGAAGTGTAGGAAGCATTGATGGGAGCATGCATTCAACCGGTGGTGGGATTCAATTGTTTCTACTATCGGTTCTGTGGGTGTGGCTTGGTGGGTGTGTCAGGGGAAAGATATTTAAAATCCCCATTCCCTGGTACCCATGTAAGGAAGATTAGAAATCCCTTTGGATTATACATAAAGGTTAATTTAAAAAAAGGGGAAACCAACTTAGAGTTAAAGTTAAAGTTTTAACTTAAAACTTTTAAAACTTTTAACTTAAAGTTTTGATTATTAGGGGGAAAATGTTATCATACAGGATATAGTTATATAAAGGAGAGATAAGAATAACAACATAGATAGATAGATAGATAGATAGATAGATAGATAGATAGATAGATAGATAGATAGATAGATAGATAG